CCCAAAAAAAATGAACCCAACTCTGGGTGGGAAATACTGGGCTTTTTGAGAGGAAGATAGCTTACCAGCCCAAGGCTTCTTCTTTAGGAAGATTCCGGTTGTATAAAGGTAACTCAAACAAGAAAGCTACTTTGAACCACGAGGGCAACTTTCCATACACCATTGGAGGCAGCGGAATGAGAGGACTGAAGAAAAAAAAAACAAATTCTCTGTTACTTGTCTCATTTCCAGATATATTAGAAAACAGTTTGTTCAGTGTTTTGAGGCATGTTACTCTACCTTGTTGTCCTTTTATAATGTCGATATCCAGCCACGTTTCCATACTTCTTATCTCCAGATTCCTGAATCCATGTTTTGACAAATTCGATCAACAAAATGGATGGATGATCCAAATATATAAAAACTACAAAACCCGAACCTCAAGAAGCGGTATCCCACTGACAAAAAGAAGCAACAATGTTAGAAATAATGGCCCAAGTACAACAAGCCATTCAGCACCTTCCAATACAGGTGTGGAGGCCACAAAGATTCCCCACCAAAGAAAAATCTGCCAAAAGATGGTAGATCCCATTAGTTTATCAAGGTTCATAGATGATAGATTCATATTCAGAACTTACATGCCTATAAAAAGAATCTTTTATTTTGAGATCACATGGCAGAAATGATTCATATTTGGTGGGTCAATTCCATGAGAGGTTGATGTGCTTATGTCACAGAAAGACGATAGTAGTAGTTTCAAATCCGGATAACAGAAATTGTATGTAGCCCATTAGATACCATTTTAGAGTAACTAGAGACTATCTACTCCGTTGATTAATTGCTCTCGGGATAGATCATTGATATGTGATAGAACAATCCTCAAAATGTGATATAATAGCCTGCCATTAATGACCCTAAAGAAGTTTTGAGACTCTTTAGTCTTTACAATAAGACGGATGATACCAAGGTTTGGGTTCTTGCAATCTAATATCTCATCTTTATCTTCTTGCATCTATATTTACATCTCTCTTTCTCCATCTTATTATCTTCATCTTTTTTTCTTGTTATATCCACATCTTCTTCTTCACTTCTTGAACATTCCATCCATTCATTTGGGCAAAAGAAACAGCAAATAGAAGGAATGACATGATCCACCAATAGAGCTGGCTCTGATACCAAATAATATAATCTTACCCAGCAGGTATGGGTTTGAACATCTTTTGCCTGATCTATTGCCTATAAAGGAGGCAAGAACCTTGGTATAGGAGCACAACATAATCAACCCACCAAGTTGATTACAAGCTACATTACAACTTAATAAGTTCTAAAGTTCATAATGAGTTAAAAACTCTAAAGAAAGATATTGATATATCTTCATCTTCAATTCTAATTATCTTAAACGTGTTAGAATTTCTGGGTTCGTGGTAATAATCACTTGTATAAAATCTTGGATCGTGCATCATGAGCACTATCGAAATACAATATTTCGACCCTTCAAACCTAAGGTCACATGAAACCTGTATTTGGATAATCCAAAATCTCACTCTCGTTCCTAGGCAAAAACTCGAGTATTCAGCAGTAAGATTAATCTATTGTTCGCATCTAAAAATGAGACAAAATTACCCTTTATAGGTGGTTACTATAGCTGTTACAGGGGGGCGCAATACAACTACTAGCGTCATCATCTGTATAATACACCAAGTGATGTGCATCAACTTATGCTACCGCGGATGGTTAAATAACACAATCAAATACATTTATTACATCATCAAAAATTATATTTCTTTTGTTACAAAAATATTATACATCCTTGTTTGAGTTATACCACAAGGGTTATATCGTTAAAAGATTGTCACCTAAATTTCCCTGGTTATTTATTATAAAACATTAATGCGACTTATTGTTGTCCATAAACATTCTCCATTTTTATTTTGTTAAAGACTATTTGGACCTTTTCTGTACGGTTGATTCGAATACAACAGCAGGGTACAATGGTAAATGAGTAAAAGACGGAGATGATCCGCACGAAACACCAACACAAAGACAAACATTACTCCGTTATGATAATTAAGAAGAGATAATGTACTTTAATGATCAAAATAGTTATTCATTTTCCAACACTGGGAGAGATGAGATGAGGGGAGAAAGCGTTTCTCTTCATCTCTTTCTAAAAATGGCCTCATCAACTCTCTCTCTAAAACCTCCATCACTTTCTCTTTGTATCCGGTTTTTCTTCCATCTTTGTCTGTGTATAATATGTATCTATAGGCCAACCTGTATAAATTAATGCATTTTGATACTCGGTAGTTCATCCGATTCCGTTACTTTTGTTGTTGCTCTACTCATAAGAGAAAAGCAACAAACACCGGATGAACTACTGAGTATCCAAATGCATCAATTTATAGAGGTTAACCTACAGGTACAGATTATACACACACACAAAAATGGAAGAGAAACCGGATGTAGAGAAAAAGAGATGGAGGTTTTAAAGAGAAAAAGTTGATGAGGCTATTTGAGAGATATGAAAAGAAACGCCTTATCCTCTCGTCTCATCTCTTCTTGGTGTTAGAAAATGAATCAAGGTTTTGATGATTAAAGTACATTATCCCTTCTTAATTATCAGAAGTAAATGATAGAGCAATGTTTGTCTGTGTATGTCGTTGTTTCATGTGGATCCCTCCATCCATTGCACATTTACCATTTTACCCTATTGTTGTATCTGACCCGCCATACCAAAAAGGTCCAAATAGTCTTTAAGAAAATAGAACGAAAAACAATTATGGAAAACAATGTCATATTAATGTTTTACAATAAACAAATAAGTAAATATGGATGATAATCTTGTAACGATATAACTCTTTTGGTATAACTCAAACAAAGATATATAATATATCTTGTGAGGAAAGAGAGAATTTTCGTTAATTTAATAAATTTATTTGCTAACAAGAAGAAATATATTTTATATATATAGAGAGAGAGATGGAGATTCAAATGAAAAGGGTAACCAAATAAAAGAACACAAAAACAACCAAATTACATGCAAAATCACATGTGATTTTACACTAACAGTCAACGCAAGGGTGTGCAAGCGACATGGTCCACGACATCAGATCGCGGCCAAAGTTGCGTCAATCACATGTGATTTTAGTGTAAAGTCACATGTGATACGACCGTTTTCTTATTCTCTTATTTAGTTATTGTTCTCGTATGAACCTAACTCTCTCTCTCTCTCTCTCTCTCTCTATATATATATATATATATATATATACTGTTAGGGCTTTTAACTCTTTATAAACTTCAGAATTTATCAAATCATAATGTAACTTGTAGCATTCCGCACTTATCAATCAACTTGGTGGATAGGTGGTGTCCTCCTATACCAAGGTTCTCGTCTCTTATATAGGCAATGGGTCACAATTTCCACCACAATTATCTTAGCAACCAATAGAATGACTGGGTAAAACGTGTTCAACCCCGTACTTGCTAGGCGAGATCACATCATCTACTTTTGTTAGGAGAAGTCCCTAACAAGTTTTGAGGCTCTTTAACCCTTTACAACTCTCAAGAAGTTTAGAGACGCAAGATAAGGGTAGCAGACTAGGATTGGGAATCTATAGTTTTTAGATAGTCTAGACTGGAGGAAGGGATATAGAGAGTTAGAGGAAGGTGGTAGGGTTAGTGAGTCTGCGAGCCTTAGGTTAGATTGGGGTATGTAAGGTTATGTTTTCTAGTACTTGCTTCTGTTTGTGTGTTTTGTTTGATTTTATTTGTTGTTTGCCCGTCTGTTTAGATTGGGGGTGTGTTGTTGCTTACTCTTAAGTCTTGACACATTTTTACATTATAGCATTGCCTTTCTTATTTTTCAAATTCTTCTTATGTTCTCTCTCAGCAAATTTTATTGAGCACTTTTATCCTTTCTTTTCACACACTTTGCATAAGTCGGAGGCTTTCTTGGAACATCCCCTCTACTCTTTGAGGTAGGGGTCTAGTATGCATACATCCCCCCACCCCCTAGACCCTATCTCAGGGTAGGAAATATTGGGTATGCTTGGTTTAAGTGTGATTATAAGATTAATTGTAGATAGGCTATCATCAAGGTGTGATATGAAGATTCAAGGACCGTTTACCAAACGTTTACTGGCAAGCGCTTACCTGTTAGAGAAATTACCCTCGCTTAACTTATCTTATAACATTCTAGGCCATCAAAATGGATTGTTGGTAAAAGTCTTAAACCCGGTAAGCACCGGGGAAGAGTCTTTTTCCTCACTTACCAGGTAAGACTCTCGGTCTTTGTTATGCCTCTTGCCAGGTCAGATACTTGGTCCTTGTCGTCATGCTTAATCAGTAAGGTAAGCAATACCAGTGAACGCTTACCCGGTAAGCATTTAGTAAACGGCCCCTTAAGTGAGACTTGTATATGGTGAAGCAACTTCAAAGGATTAGAGGTCATCATGTATAAGTGTAAGTGTTCACACACATCTAACAAATACAAAACGACGATCATCCTATGTATGAAGTATCTGGTTTTAACTCATTTCAGGTTTGGGTGCGACAAGCAACAGATGATTTAACCACTAACCTCACCGAAGTAGTTCGGATGACGTGTGTACCCCCATAGTCCAGCATCACACCATTTTCCCCTATTTCCTGGAGAATTCTTAAACATCAATTTTTGCTGGTCAGCAGTGGCTTCAATTACGATACCCACAGACCACATTATCCACCCGATTATGTCCTGAGCTTGAAGACCTGGATCTGAGTCACTTGCATTAACAACTGTCACAGGTAAACTTACGGTCCAAACCCATATAGCCTGCCACAAGAGAACAAGAATCAATTAAAAGGAACAGAAAGCCCAAACCCTTTTGACAGAAAAAAAGATCTTATTTCTAAACAAAACCCTGCAAACTCATAATATTTTAGAAGTAAAATCAAACCCAAAAAGAAGCAACCAAGAAACAAATAAATCCAAAGGGGAAAACAAAAATACAATCTATATCTATATCTATATATAAAGCAGAATCCTTGTTGGATTACGTGGCATCATCAAATTGTTAGAATCCTTCCTTTTTTCTTTCTCCTTAATTTATGCTCTATTTTCCTTTTGTTTTTCTCTTATTTTCATTATTTTCATTAATTTTACATTAATATTAACCCTTTCGTTTTCTCAACGGTTTTCCTTGTGTCTTTTCAATCTCCATCTAAACTCTACTAATTAAAGAAGGATTTATATATATATATATATATATTCTAAAGACCAAACCATGTTGTCATCAAATTGAAGGATTCAATCTCGTTTGCCTTAACTTTTTTGGTTGGATTTAGAATATATATATATATATATATATATATATATAAATCCTTCTTTAATTAGTAGAGTTTAGATAGAGATTGAAAAGACACAAGGAAAACCGTTGAGAAAACGAAAGGGTTAATATTAATGTATAATTAATGAAAATAATGAAAATAAGAGAAAAAACAAAAGGAAAATAGAGCATAAATTAAGGAGAAAGAAGAAAGGAAGGATTCTAACAATTTGATGATGTCACGTAATCCAACAAGGATTCTGCTTTATATATAGAATATAGATAGATTAAAATAATATAATCATATTTGGGAAAAGTAACAAGAGCTTTTCGAGGATGGAAAATTTCCTTATGTGAAATGTCTGATACATTTGTTCTATTCGGGTGAATTGCTTGGTATAAGTAGGAACGAAGTATTGGATTAAATGAGCACATAAAGCGCTTGATATATGCATGAGGTAGTATAAAAAATTCTATACCAAACAATTCACCCAAACCTTTACATTGTGCTACRTTTTGATTAATTCAAGTTGCATGATTCCATTGAAGAGTGGATGTTTTCAATTCAATTTGATTTAATAAGTATGAAAATGATTCTTAAAAGGTTTTCATATTTGTATAACTATATCTCTACGAGTCTAAGGCTATGAGGGTTGTTATTCAAAAATATAAACAAATAGTACCTTGAAAAATAATTATTAAGATAAATATAAAAGTATCTACCATCAATATATTTAAGAATTTCTAGACCCACAAAAAAAGCGTTCTTAAATCAAAGAAGTGATTATTTTCAACCAATATGAAGTAATTTGTTTATTTATTCAACTAATACTATACCAATATTCATTCTTGACAAAGCTTTAAACACATAACGTCTCAATAATACATATAAATAATATTGCACATAAACTTGCAACTTAATAAATTCCTATAAAAATAAACATCTTTATCAATTATATTGGACGGTTATTTTTAAACATATTACATGCATACTCTTTGTTTGTTATATAAGTAAATAACCGGTGTCATTAATTATTATTTACATAAGACTCATTATATTTATATAGTATTATTAAATGATCATTATTCGGTTATTATTATTTACATAACACTCATTATATTTTTTAATATTATTAAATGGTCATTATTGGTTATTATTTTTTACATAACACTCCTTTTATATATATATATATATATATATATATATTATTTAAAAACAATATATGTACTAAATGATCAGTTATATGAGTTTCAATCATTTTTTTAGTATACCATATATGTTGATTTTACATAAAATTATTAAAATATTTTCTTTGATAACTTTGTAACGAGAAACCAAACTATGAAAAAATAGTCTTAGGAAGATAAAAAGAAACTCCAACAAGTCAAATGAAAAATTAAGCAATTCAATTGGATTCGCCTATRTCCAAGGTGGTCACAATACTAGCGACTACTGTTGCTCTTCGTGCATTGTAGGCTGGGAAAGGGGAGGTTTCGAGAAAGGTTTTTGGATAAAGTTGCAAACGAGTACATTAAAACATATGTAAGTAAATTATAAAAATATATGCGATGTTATACACAAAAATGGGTAACAATATCCCATTTGTGTGGTGCATATAAATATTTTATGGAAATATATGTATGGATAAATTGATATATTTACAACAAGACAATATGTATTATACACCTCATTATTATAATCAATAGTCTCAAACAATTTTTTTTATCATTTTGATTCAATTACATAGTTTGATGTAAGAAAAGTTTGATATATGTATATGTGTATATATATATATATATATATAAATTATTATTTAATGATATATATAAAAAACAATCGAGGATGATGAGGTGACTTTATATCAAGTGTAATATCTATTCCTATTAGTTTAATATTGATTTATGACCATCGACCCATTTAACTTCAATATTTTCTAAAAAAGTTAATTGATCGCGCAACGCGCGATGCCGATCACTAGTTAGGTATAAATGTAACACAAAAACCTGAAAGATCCAGAAAACCGCCAATTTTCCCAAATTATCACGCATCTCATCAAAACGCCGATCTTCTCCCCAATTCAAGATCCTGATAAGAAATGTGAAAGATTAAAACCATAAACAGAAGTGATCTCAGCAATACTCTTGTCCATTCATACCTCATCAACAGAAACAATCCAAGGCGAAGACCCCATACTACTACAAGAAAGCTCAGAACCACCTGAAATGCATAAATAATAAAATGAATATACATTTTATAGCCATATCTTATTAAATTCTTAAAGATAGAAAAATGGAAATAGTGTACAAAAAGAAACAAGAGGATCCGACTTTTCTGGCATTACACGATTGGAGACTCAGAGTTGAACCCTTCGTAAATATTATTCATAGTGATTTATATATTAGGTGTGTTCACGTATACAGCTTGGTAGGAGAAAGGGGCACATCATACCAGTAGTCATTTCAACATATAAATCGATATAGGGAGGTCACACATCATTCTCACTCGTCTAACAAACATATCTGCACGACCAACAGAAAAGGAAAGAAAAACGCTAAGTCACGTAGCCATATGCTGAGGCTATGCTTCGAATACTGAGGTCATATAGAACACGTTCTTTCATGAATAAAATCAGTTAATGGGCCAATACAAGTTAATGCACAAGTATGACTGCCAAATTAATCAAGAATTAGAGTCAAAGGAACTTGCAGTTCTAAGAGTTGTTTTCTAGAAAATTAAAGATCTCTGCCCATAGAGTCATAGTAGTACCCAAGAACTTGAATGCATCAAACATCATCATAATATTCATCAATAGCATGTCCTTTTAAAATCCAACAAAACAAGATACACATATAGCATATGATCTTAGCTTTGGGAGTAAAAGCAAGGATGAACTTACTTACAAAAAATATGATGTCACTTTACTCTTTTAACAATCTCAGATTTTTTCCTTTTTTTTCTTAATCTCTTTCACCCAACCCAACCTACCCTTTCACCCCTTCTATTTCACTAATACTTCACACCTGTTGATTGCATACAAGGGGACGAGAAAGTAACAGAATCACAAAGGATTTGAGGTTTGTTTGGTCATTCTCAAGCGCTCAGATAGATGATGCCACAGGATCGCAGTTTAAACCAAACCAAATCAAACGATCCCAGTATAATGGGGTCTGTAGTGAGATGTACGCGGACCTGACCACTACCCCCAAGGAATAGAGAGCTTGTTTCCTAATGGACCCTGACTGGTGAAAAGTATGCGCAAAAAAAGGAAGTTACCAATAAAGTATGAAGAATTTGAAAGAAGAGGAAAAGAGAACAAAAGAGATGACGTCGGGACCAAAAACAAAGATACACCAAAAATGGAGAAAAGAACTAAGGGTAGTTAAAAGCAAACAACACCACAAAAACAGAGGCTAGTACAAGGAAATAAAACTACACAACACCGAATTATGTTAGGAATCTGGTAACCTATTTGCCAACTCCCTAACCCTGCCACCCCTACCTCACCAGCTTCCTCCTCCCATCTAAGCTAACTACAGGCCCCCACTCCATGTTTACTACCCTCACCCTACGCCTCTAAGCATTCCTATCTGACGTCCTCGGAAATTTCTAAGGCCGTCATATCCAACCTCAGTTGCTCAACCCACGTCCTCCTCGGCCTGCCCCTCCTCCTTGCCCCCTCAATCGTCACGCTTATCCACCCTTGACACCGGAGCAGCCATCTTTCCGTTGTGAACGTGTCCAAACCACTGCAGTCTTCCCTTCCTCAAACTTATCCATGATAGGCACAACTCTCAACTTCATCCAGAAGACCTCGTTCCATGTCCTATCCAACATGGTTCGACCATAGGTCCATGTAAGCATCCTCATTTTTGCAACTTCTAGCTTCCTCTCATGGACCTTCCTTGTTGCACAACACTTGGACCCATACAACATAAGAACATGGGATCATCTATTTAGCTAATATCATGTCTATTTTCTGACTTATCGCACAAACAGAGTTGAATCAAAAAAATCAGGCAGCTTAGAGAAATGGATAAAATCTTAAAAGCATGTACCATTGCCAATAACTTTGTTCTTCAACTAACAATCCAACATTTGGATAATACACAAGGAATTCAAGAACATAGATGACTAAACTTAATTACTCCAAATTAAATTCATTGATACATTAGTTTGACAAAAATAATGTGAACAAAAAGTTTAAATAACAGAAGAGCTGAAAATGGATACTTTACCTGCCTAAAATGCCATGATCCTTTTAGTATCAACGTTAATAGAGAGAGTATGACAAAATTTGTGCTTCCTGTTGAAAAAAGAAGTGTAATGCTTACATCAAAATGAGTAAGTTCAATCAAAGTGATATATTGAACATTTTCCCCAAAATATCATGATCGGCACATATCTTTTTTACTTGTTTAATTAATAACTCACTACTTTTACCATAAGAAAAACAATGAACACAAAACGTCATCAAAGATTACAGCATGACCCTTCTCATAATTCATCCATTTAGCAAAAGAGACTCAATTCTTAACAGCATCCAATTGAACAGATCTCCTTTTAGATTGGCCAAATACATGAGTTTACTTATAATACAAAAATATATGAATAAAGGTCCAACAGTGTCACAGACTTTGTTTTCCCGAGCTCCACATAAGAGATCGAGAGAATGGAGAACTCTGTAAGGTTCTAGAAGATTCTATAGTCTTACTTGGAGAACACTTTCTTGGTGAACCTCAAAGGGATCAAGCCATGACATTCAAGGCTAGATGTTAGTGTCTCATACCCTCCCCCAAAGACTTGGATGCAATAAACCCTTGATTCCATGAGAAAATTGAAGAACCAAAAACTCGTTCTATCTTTACCTTGTTGAGCGTGGTACAACAAACCAATCAAATTTGAAAAATTGTTCCAAATTTATCAGATGTCCCCGAAGGGACAATCAAATTTGATGTAAATGGCAAGTTCTGTCATCCTTTTTGTGCCATATATACAAATACGGTTTCTTTTTTGCACCATGTCATCACAATTGTATTCAATATTTACTTTCAGGACTCCATATTGACCTTTGACACAAACCAGTTTCTTCCATGGAATCTGACACATTTTGTTCTACTAGACAACAAGTCCATCCAAAAATCCCCTAAACTTTTTTCAGCCTACACTAAAAGTTAAGACCAGGCCACTGATTGATTGATCGGTCGTTGCTAATCATCAACTACAAACAGATAATAATTCTGTACATATTCAAATAAATCTTAATCATGTAAAAATGTAGCCTATAATCATTGAAATTGAAAAGTGTTGGGGGTTGAGCTCAAAAGTAAAAGTGAAGCAATGGAAGAAAGGAATAGTTGTAAGCATACCAGCGAAGTCAGTGACTTTATCGAATTTGAGAAGTGCTGTGACTATGAAGAACAACAACTGATAACCAAACTACAATAAGATAGAATGGATTTTAGCGATGAAAATTACATAATGATCTTTGAGAGAAGGATAGAGATAGAGATAGAGAAAATGGTGTACGGTGACGATGGCTGTGAGTGCCAAGAAATGGGAGTCGATGACGGTGCCCATTGATGAAATGATAATCCTCCCGTTGAATGATTTTTGCAGTTTGTTTGTTTGTTTTGTTTTCACCCAGAAAAGTATGAAATTGGGGTTTATGGACTGATATGTGGTTGAGGACTTGACGCGACGGAATACTCAATGCCGCATATATGTCTTTCAGAATATATACAATGTAGCCATGATCAAATGAAAACCGTGTATTTTTAAAAAACTGTGTAAATTAATTTCGATCAATAGAAAAATTTCTTTTTTTTAATTAAATTTAATCAATAAGTATATTTTGGTCATTTACAATATTTTCTATTAAATATAGAAGTTATTAATAAATCTTAATTAAGAAAATGTAATAAAGAAAATTGTATAAATGGTAACATTTAAATATTTAACTATATTAAAATATTAAAAATTTGGATTTCATATATTGTCATAAGTTATAATCAGAAAACGTGTCTTGATGAAACAATTGAATTATAGAATGAAATCATCAAAACGTAGATGAACAAAAAAAAATCACAAAATGAAACAGGTTTCATGAACCTAAAACCGGTTCATGTTGCAAAGAAATTAGGTGAACTGAAACATTTTTATGGTGAACCCGTTGCATTAATGGTGTAGTTAATCCTTTTTTTTATGAGAAGCAAAATGAAACCGGTGTATTTTGAAAAAAATTATGAAAAAGACAATGAAACAGGTTTTATGAACGTGAAACCGGTTCATGTTGCAAATAAATTAGATGAACCAAAACATTTTTATGCTGAAACCGTTGCATTGATAGTGTAGTTGGTCAATTTTGTTGATGAAAAGGAAGATGAAACCGGTGCATTTTGAAAATAAATTATGAAAAAGAAAATGAAACAGGTTTCACGAACGTGAAACCGGGTCTTGTTGCAAATAAATTATGTGAACCGAAACATTTTCATGGTGAAATCGTTGCATTGATGGTGTAGTTGAGCCATTTTGTATTTCGCTCGTCATGAACGAAGTGCATGATGAAACGAGGAAATGATTTTAATCTGCTACATAATCTTGAAGATTGTAACCTGCTCCAGAATTTTCAAGATTGTAAGGACTAAAGAAATGATTCCATCAAATCGGTGGTGAAATAAGAAAATTACTGTACATGAAATAGTTTTCATGAAAGTGAAACTGGTTCATGGCAGTATTGAGTCTGATAAGTGAAATGGTTGCATAAGTGAAACAATTTCATGTTGTATTATAAACTTTTATGAAGTTAGTAATCTATGAAAAAATTTTGTTATCCAAGTGTAACGGATTCATCTACCAGTATAACGAAAATTACAAAATATGATTAGTATTACGTGGATTAGTCTGTTGATTAAATTTTGAAACCAATTTCGTTCATATAATGTAATTCAAAATTCAAAAAACCATTCACTCCATATAATTGAATATAGTGTGTTATATTCATTTTTTTGATATGTTTTATTGATGGATGTGATTTAAATTTAAAAATAATATATTGCTTTAAAAAAATAAAAATAATGTCATTAATATCGAGAAGGATGTTACCAAATGTTAAATTTTGTTTACCATTTTTACCCTTACAGTTGAAATAAAATAAAGTTTTAATATATATATTTTTTTAATTTTCTAAAATAAAGTAAACTAATCTTGGTCATTAATCAAGAAAATGGATGGATGAGATTGGTTTACACAAATGGGGCAGGTTTTTATTTGAACGCTCCTCTCTCTCTCTCTCTCTCTCTATATATATATATATATATATATATAGGTGGAGGTTCAAACGAGAACCCTGTGATTTACAAGAATATGAGAACAACCTAATAACCTCAAACTTTTTTAATTAATAAATTAACTTTTATTATATATAAATAATTTAATAAGGGCAGTAATATAATTAAGTAACTTTTATAATTTTTATTTTATTTTAATTAACCATAATTATCCTATCACGTTTTCACGTTTTACTCTTGTTAGTTTTCTTTTTCTCCATATCACATGATTACACCAAAAAATTAACTTATCAACCAAAACGATAACCCATGTTGTATAACGGTGATTATCACACTCATATTACATGATTATCACACCAAAAATTTAACTTATCAACTAAAACGATAACTCAAGTCATGTATAACGGTGATTATCACACTCATATCACATGATTACACCGAAAATTTTAACTTATCAACCAAAACGATAACCCAAGTGATGTATAAAAGTGATTATCACACCCACCTCACATGATTATCACACTTATATCACATGATTACACCAAAATTTTAACTTATCTACCAAAACGATAACCCAAGTGATGTATAACGGTGATTATCACACCCCTATCACATGATTATCACATCCATATCACATGATTATCACACTCATATCACATGATTACACCAAACATTTAACTTATCAACCAAAACGATAAAAGTGATGTATAACAGTGATTATCACACCCCTATCACATGATTATCACACCCATATCACATGAGACCAATGCTTTTTCGTAAGACCCGTAAGACCAATTCTCAACCCTTAAATTAGATCTAAAATCTCAACATTCATAATCATAAAATTGTCACGAGACTTTTCAATAATTACAAAATTGTCATCGTGCAACTTTATACCATTAGATCATTAGTTTATAATGTTGATCAATGAATATAAATTGGTCTCACGAGTCTCACGAAAAACCCACGGTCTCACGTAAACCCAACTCTATATATATACATATATGTGTGTGTGTGAGAGAGAGAGAGAGAGAAAAAAAAAGTTCAAATGAGAATATCTCTATATTTTACGAGAACACGAGAACACCCTTATCACATGTGATAATACGCGTGAGGGGACCATGTGATGTGCGGACGACGTGTTCTACGACTTAAGCCGCGCCAAAGGTTGTCTGTGTCTATGATTTAACATCGCATGTGATGGTCTTGATAGATTATAGTATCATATCAATAATAACCTTATCGCATGTGATGGTCTTGATGGATTATACTTGTACAATGCAGAGATACATCTTAATTTTAATGTTTTTTTTTTTTTTTTTTGTTATAATAAAGTTTTATATGGTTTTGAGAAAACAATAATATTTTTATTTTAAATAAAATATAAATATGAAGACATATAATTAAAAAAAAGTGAATTTTTTTATATTAATACCTAACTAACTATTTAAAGTTTCTCTTTTTTTGTGTATTTCTTTAATTCATTTTTTATCTTTAGTTTAATAATATAGTTTTTTATAAAGATAATAATTAAGTATTTTGTTAGAACTAAATGATTATCCTAATTATATTTTAGATCTTTTATATTTAAAATGAGATGTTTATCCTCTATTTGTTATGTTTGTCTATAATTATTTACACGAATTCAGACATGAAGCTTTAATGAGTTGTATTTACGTAAAGTGTACTTGTAATCTTAAATTTTAAGTAATATGCATCAATAAATAGTATTTCTGCAGTTAGTTACACGAATTCAGATATGAAGCTTTAATAAGTTGTACTTACGCACAATCTACTTGTAATATTGAGTTTTAAGTAATATGCATTAATAAACAGTACTTTATGCATAAAAAGTGGTTTTTAAAAGTTTTTGTCAAATATTTTATAATATAGTATAGATTTTTTAAGGAGTTATTCTTAAAAACGAGAAATGATAAACATTACAAACCACAATGACCAAAAAACAAGTTTTAAACATCACAGGGGAAACGTAAAATTCGAAAAGAATGAAGCAAAATCAAAAAGGGCTCTCAGATACTTTGGCATCACAGTCAAAAGGGTCATTTAACGATCATTAGTAACATGAATCCAAACTTTTGCGAATTTGCAGCCATAGGCGTATGATTTTTATATCTTTCTATATATAAAAAAGATTCGTAAAAAATGAATAGTTTACTTTAAAAGAAATGTTCATATTTAGTAAAAGATTAGTTTCATTTTTCAAAATCATATGTTTTACAAAAGTAATTTTAAAAATGACAAATTACATAAGAATAGTTTACTTTGTTTTGATTTTTATTTTAGGTATTTAAGCATATGTGTAATTGGTTGGATCACTAACCAATTACCATACTGATGTGGCGGCACACAAGTCAATAATCTTTGAACCGGATGCCAAGCAGGTGGTCGGTGTCATACGCTCCTCTGAAGACAACGGCTCGGAATTTGGTGATTTTATCTTCCGGTGCCACACAATTCTCCTTCAAAATGACTCATGGATTTTGAAGCTTTTCGATATATACATTTTGGTTTGTCATATTTGTGGGGTTTGATTTTGTTTTGTGGATTCCGATTCAAGAACTCGGTTAGCATCAATAGGGTTTGGGGTATCGTTTGGTTGCATCACACAATGAAACACGCATATCTCATGTAATCGAAGACTATGGAAAGATTTATGTTTTTTGATTTGTCGGGTTAGACTTTGGTCCTGAATGGATTTGGATTTGAATCTTAATCTGGATCTATTTCAGAATAATCTTTTGACATGTTTAAGATGTTGAGGTTATTTCAGAGGAGACTCCTTCCATCAATTATAGAACATGACAATTATTAGGGTTAAGATTTGTAAATGTTTGATATTGACTTGGATCCTTTATGCACCAATTTTAATGTTGCAAGTACGATGATATCTCCATATGCTCATTTTGGCTCTATTTCCAAAGTATGTTCACTGGGGGTTGCGTCATGGGTTGGTGGTGGGGGGTCTGCTATGCCGAAGGTGGTAGTCATGGTTAGGAAGGGGAAGATGTATGTGTTTTTATGTAGAAAGGAAAATTAATTAAATAGTCTAAAAAGTTGAAGAAATTATAAAAGACGTGAATATCCCATGAGTTAACAGACCTATTTAAAAGAAGTTAATCTGAACTTTACAGGATAAAAAGTGAAATAAAATAACAAGCACAATGATCAAAATTGTAATTAATTTAAAAGAGAGATGAGAATTATGAGTGAATGGTAACTAGAGAGACTAAAAGTATAATTTATTGTTAATCTAATGGCTTTATTTTTCAATAAATTATAAAAATAGTTTAAATTTTTTTCTTATGTTTTATAAAAGCTGGGAAAAAATTTGAAGTAAAAAAAAATATTTAAAACTAATTTTATATTACAAAACTCACGTCATAACAACAAAAACATTAAGTTGTATATCACGTTTATTATTCATAACGACATGGTTATCGACGATCAAATCAGTTACCCGCATACTTAAATATTTAAGATGTTTTGCTCTAAATTTGAAAACTAAAATTTTAGTAGCAATTCATCTATCATCTATTCTTTATCCATAGTATATATTTTGTAATTAGATTGGAAAGCAAGCAAGGGTTTGAAAACTTATCTATATTTTACATTAGAATAAATAACATTTTTTTTTTCTCCCTCCTGTTTAAAATTTTGCTTTTCATCCCTATGATTTAGAAAGTGTTACTTTCGTTTTTATGATTTACAATTTATTATTGTTTTGGTTATTGTGGTTACAATTTTTTTATTTTTTGGTCCCTTGTACTTAAGAGTAGAAATTAGTCTCGAAATAAAAATAGCAATAAATTGCAAGCCATAGAGGCGAAAATTGAAATCATTATAAGGACCAAAATCATACTTCTCTTTATATTACAAATTATAGGTTTTAGAGATATTTAGGTACATAATATTAAATGAAATTTTAATTAAAATGACATGATCTCGTTCTTCTAGTAGATCATAAACTCATAGATTTACTTAAAATCTCGTTTAAGATCATATACCTAAAAATACCCAAATCAGTAATGCATACGGAAATATTCCAATTTTTATGCAGGTTGAATTCCGGTGAGAAAAAAAATTATGATAAGAGGAGATCTTTCACCCTTGGATCAATTCTAATTGAATGTAAATACTAATGAGGTACACCGAGATTACCCAGATCAATTCACTTCTAAAGCACATGTATAAGTAGACATGAGATTAAAAATGATCACCAACGTTTTTCACCATAATTTCTGTTTCTTATACAATGATTTTTTACACGATAATTCGTCTTTTTATAGTATCCTTGTTTTATCAAAATTTTAACCAAAAAGAAATAGTGCTTTTAAGAGAACCAATTTGTTTCGAAAGCAGATAAAACATCCTCTATATTTATTATTGGGAAATAATTGGCAAGATTATACAAAGGAAAAGGTTCAGAACTTCTTTCTGGAACCAGATGAACCCCAAAGAGATTGCCAGAAAACAGGCCAATTCTTTTGAGCCTCGTTCCAACCCAAGAGGGAGCCTTCTCTCATAGGGTCCCAACTGGTGGACACTATCCCATAACTAACACCTGCTAGGGCTGTCCCAAAGAAGATAAATGACACAATGAAGGGCACCCAAGTGGGCACATCAATCTTCAACCCTACTTTCAGATAATAAAAGAATGGAAAGAACAACAACCCTATAAACAATGGAATCCCAACTGATAACCCGATTCTACCTATCATCCTGTTCGTTACTATCTCTGGAATCACACCTGCTTCTCTCTCTATCTCCTCATCTTCATCATCTTCATAATCATTGTTGTTGACTTTCTTTGGGTTCAGGGTCTTTTTGGTAATTTTGTTGGGGGGAGGAGGGCCAAAGCCTTTAGGGGGGGAGTTGAATGTGGGTGAGATGTGTAAGAATCGGAATTGGCGATTCCGATGGATTCTGTGGGATGGCTTTGGAAATGGAAATGAAAGTGGGGGTTTAGAGAGGTTATTTGGGGAAGGTGAGAAATGGAAAGAGTTGCAGGTAGTTGTTTCCATTCTTATGAAGTTTCTGGGTTTTGTTTTCAGTGCATAGTGTTGGTTTTGTGAAATGGTTGGTGGTGATCTGTGCCTTTGCTTCCTGAGTTTTAGATTAGAGGCCTTATCTTCTTAGAGTTCTCGCAAAATTACAGTAATACCCCTATGAGGTCTAGTAGAGGCCCAACAGGAGTTCACTGTTGTGGGATGTGTTTGGCCGACCCAAGTGCGATGACCACAAATCAAATGATTGGGTCGGGTCGGGTTAGGTTGGATTCGATGAACCCCACAAATCATATTAATCTCAAAGCCTGGTGAGACTCGAGCCTAAAATACCTAGGCCTGAAAAAACCCAAGCCTTGTGCATCTCTATTAACGGGATCAAAACTAAATCAATTTACTTCAATGTGACTTGGCAATGGAGGGTTCAATCGCCTTATTTACTTGTCAATTTTATGGTTCTCAACAGCTTGATAACCAAAGCCTATTTTTCCATTTTAGCAAATTTTAAAGCTAAATAAAAATTTAAGCATTGGCCTCGATACTAAATCACTATTTGGTACTAATAATCTAGATCCACATAATTTCCTAATAGAATAAAACAAATAAGAGTTTTAAAGCATAAATTTGGATAGTATCCAAACCATTTCGTAAAACTAGATTTACAATCAAACATTTTCGCTTAAAGTGTTCTTGACTTTTTCCTGATTCAGTTTATTTATATTTTTTTTAACACCTTGACGTATATGCATGTATCTGAAGTAGAACCACTAGATGAATCCCCTACTAGATTCGAATTCCACTACCTAAATCATTTTGTAAAGTATTATTTGTGATCTAAGTAGGAATTTTGTTATTAGGATTGAACTGGTCCTAAATGATCATCAATCTAAAGAAAAGGTAACTTTCATCAGTCATCACCTTGGGCAAAAAGAAGACTTTATTCGGATAGTCTGCTTCACTTTGTGATTGATCCTGGTAAAAAGGGAATAGGCATGGTAGATTATTAGTACAATTAAGAAGTCCTGGCATGCAAATTGCAATAAAAATGGGACTTTTAGATTATAAAAAAGGAAGTGATTTGAGTTTTCTAACCATCTTTATTTTAAGCTAACCATTATGCTTACTAAAAGAGGAAAGTTCAAATAAGAACCATAACCAACTATTTCATGTATCATTCATGATGAATAATTCTGAATATCATGCATTTTTTATCATGAATATCATGTATTTTCATTATGAATAATTTTGACCTTGAATATTTATCACGAAATTAATCATGAATAAAACATGAATAGTTGGTTCTCATATTCTCAAAATCTTCATGATTCTCATATGAACATGCACCCTTACTAATATACAAACAAAACACCAAGTATGTCATCCGATTAGCAGGTCCAATGCAAATACGATTGTTAAAAACTCTTTCTAATAAAAGGGACTCTATGTATAATTAAGTTATGTAATAGCTACTAACCTAGAAGCAATTGTGTGTTAGGGTAAAGCTAGGATGTAGTCGATGCAATTCCATAACGGTTCCTTAGAGCATCAATGGCTCTATCCACAGACTGCAGAAGTTCAGGAATGGTTGTTTTGCACACTGGAATTAACAAACAAACAAACAACTTAACCACGTTAAGCTTTGACAAGTTCCAAACAAACATGCTTCTTTCTTATAATTGTAAGAGATGCCCACAATCAACATGTGGCTTTCATACGTTCACAGTTTAGGATTGCCTTTGGTCTGCTTCATTAATTTCATTCTGCAAATACTCCTAATGCTAAAACACAACATTTTAAAGAGACTACTAGTTGAACAAAAACTGGTAGATGGTTAAACCAACCCTGCTAATTAATGTACACCATTTAATTTCCATGCAAGTTGAGTGATAGAAACATACCACGATTGGTGCTGGCTTGTGATTCTGCTATCAGTTCCATATATGAAGCCTGAAAAATGTGGTCTTGTCATACATGTGAAAGTTCAAATTTATGAACAGATATGACCAGATATTGATGAACAAATACGTGAAAACCACCTGCATTGCGTCATGAGTTTCTTTTATTCGGTCATTCATCTTCTTAAATTCCTTCTCGGCTTCATTCATTGTTTGTTGGCATGTTTGGTTTTGAATCTTCGAAAACAGCAAGGAGACAAGAACTTAAGAGACAAAAACCAGTTGACCAGGTGCTTAAAGCATTTCGAGATTTCATAATTAATTGACAAACTAATTACTCTACTCATAGCTTGCAGTTTATTCTGATATGAGCTACCCACGACAAGCTCCATCCGCAAAATAGCATGCAAATCGATAAAGAACCAGAAAGCTGACAAGTAAGAAAGCAGTATCCATTTTCTGGCCAACTTAAAAGCAGTACAAGAACCTCCTGTGCTTTGAGATTTATTCAGAATATTCATAACATATTTCTACCAATCACATTATTGAAAGTTATGCTAGCTCTAGCCTACATGTACAGTAACAATGTGCAAGTCACGAGATGTACTTCAAAGAAACATAGGGTGCACAATATATAACATCCTAGAATGCCTGACAAAGAAAAATTGCTTTGACGTAACCTTTTTCTCCCATCATGTTTATTATAGTTCTTTGGTAATGCAACACGTTATCGACACTTTTCTACCATATCCAACACAACCTGCATTTGTACCCCTATCATTTGAATAGTACTAAAAGACTTCACAAGCATGTGAAGTCATAAACCAGAGTTTCTTCACAGCCTAATTCATGTAATCAACACAATATAAATAACTGATAATTCGTCCACTAGTTGTTTAACAGAAGTAGTACATTTGACGCCTAGAAGTACACAAAATGGACTCTAATTTTGAGACAGGAGTAATCATTCGCAGAAATGAACTCTTTAGCAACTAATTTCATAAGATCTAACTTGAAGTTCATTCAATTTTCATGAGAAATACATTAGTAAGCAGAAACAAACTATTCTGAGGCTGATTATATACGATCTCGCCATCAATGAGCAAACATGTTTCCTGCAACTAAGAATTTCTTCACAAAGATGTTGACGAGCTAAATTCAAATTTCTATGACTAATTTTGCATAAACAAATAATACATGAACCAAACATCAAATAACGTACGTTAACGAATAGACCTTATATCTTTTGTGCAGACGAGAATGAGAAGCTTCCACGTCCTTGAGTATCGCCGAATGCGAGAAATCCAGGTGACGCTTGATAGAATCGACGTTGGAGGATGTCATTTCCTTCAGATCAGCGAGGGTGCTAGGTGCTTTGCTTAGTGCCGGCGCAGGTGAAATTTTAGGCGGCTCTGCAGATGAATTGGTGTTGTTCTTCTTCTTTGGAGACGCGGAGGAGGTAGGAACGTTTTTGAAGCAGCTGAAATTGAACTTGAACTTCGGGGGAGATTCACTGGGTGATCGGTTTGGAGTCGCCGCCGATGACTTTTTCGTTAATCTCCGCCTCATCTCTCTCCACAAATTGTTCTGTGTGACTTTCAAATCGCAAACAATATATGGCCATTAGTATTCAAAATTTTAGGTGTATATAAAGGCGGGTGTTTTTTTTTGTCAAACACGTTTAACCTGAATTTAGAGATCTTGCAGGTGTGTATGAGTTGTGTTATACTCAAAAATAAAATATAATTGTTCGATAATTGTTTACAATAAAATTGGTGTATTGAAGAGTCAAAGGAGATTGATGATACAAAATCATTTAGAGGGTTTTAAAATCATTAAGAGATAAACTTTTTTTTGCCAACAAGATCCACCTCTTAACGATTTAAATGTTACCTCTTAATAGAACTATTAAGAGGTAAACAAACAACCTCTAAATGTTTATCGGGTTTTATTTAACTTACTCGGTGAACATAATAAGGTTTGAGAATTTTATCCTATAGGTAAGGGGTGTTTGGAATTGCTTATAAAAATAGATTATTGACTTATTTTGGTGTGGTACCGGTAATAAGCATTTTTGATTGTTTGGATAAACAACTTATACCGGTGCCAAACCGGTAACAAGGAGTTTTTGAAGAAGTTAAACTTTTCTGACTTATAATAAGTTGATAAGTGTTTTTGTAGAAAAACATAAGTTTTTCAAATAAACAATCTCAAACACCCCCTAAGAACCAAGACTTTTATCTGGTTAGTACTTACCAGATAAGATACATTTAACAACAATATATTTTGATGCTCGAAAATATTATACGAAAAAGTAAGTAATGATGATGACTTCTATCGTTAAATGTTTTACCCGATAAACATTTGGTAAAAGTCTAAAAGATCCCTTAATCTAAAATTATGACCGATTTGAATATGATTGTCTCAACCGGTTGTAATTTTTTTTATTTTCTTATTTAAAAAAAAAAAAACAAAATCACGACTCCATGTTAGAAGCATAGCCTAATTATAGAAACAAATCACTCAACCCGTTATAAGAACGAACTGTTGGAAGGAGTTTTAACGGGGTTTTCTAGACCGTTACTTAAGACTAGAAATTTTGGATCATTTTTAGGCAAGGACAAGCACAAACTCTGTTTGATCCTTGAGCCTTTATTTAGTGCGAGATGGACAGGAAAATAATTCAGTGTTCCACGTTTGACACAACATGTGACAAAAAGAGACAAGAATTAAGATAGCGTGAGACAAAAATTGTTTTTTCTTGTTCCATCAAAATAAATGGAACAAGATGGGATAAAGATTAGACATAAACTAAAATATTATTAATTTATCATTGTTTGATATAATCTTAATATGATATTTGTTTTAATGGTTAACTCTGTCAATAGTAGCTGCCACCATCACTGTCAACCACCCCTCTTCCACTACAACAATCTTCACCACCTCCACAACCACCGTCGACCACCAACCACCGCCATCATAACCACCGTCACAACCACCTCATCCACCACTATCGGTCACCACCATTACCGCTATCCACCATCTTTACGTCCTCCACAACCACCGTCGTCCACCAAACACCACTATCCACCACCTTTACGTCTTCTAGAACTACCGTCATCCACCACTACGTCTACCTTTAAAATCACTGTTGCCCACCTACCACCATCGCCCATCACCTCCATCGCTGGCACCATCAGCCATCACCACCTCCACCTCAACCATAAACACCACCACCTCAACCGCATCGGCCACAACTACCTTCTCCATCGCTATTGCCACCACCACCATTCACCATCTTCATATCCTCCACAACCACCATCGCCCGCCAACCACCACTGCATATGCCTCCACAACCATCATAGCTCCAACAACGTTCACTGTTCTTTCAATTCATAAGGATCTTCCAAACATAATATAACATAGTTTTTTCTTTGTACGAATTGGGTTTTTCGAAATACCATCAATTATATCAAAATTTTCATTCAAATTTGGTACTATTATATATGTACATACTCGTGTATATGAAAAATATGTCAAAATATTTATAAACTAAAATGTTTAAATACTTACCTTAGTTTGTGTCATTTAGAACCTAAAGAGTGTTCATTCCTGGTTTCAATATATTTTAACAAACTATTATTTCTTTATTAAAAAATTCCATTTTTCATTGTTCAATGACTTAGGGACCGTTTACCTAAATGCTTACCCTGTAAATGCTTACCGATATGATTCAACATTATAATTTATTTTGATACATAAGATTTTAGTACATCAAAACATATCGAATGCAACAAGTTACTAGTAAGTGCTTACCTAGGTAAGAATCGTCATCCTTACTTACCTGGTAAGACTCTCTATCATTTTCATTGCTCTTACCCGGTAAGATTATTGGCCCTTCTCATGTTCATCCAATAAGAAAATTTATCCGGTAAACACTTATCAAGTAAGTGTTTAGTAAATAGCCCCTTAATTTATCATTATTCAAAGCTTATTATTATCCCATACTTATGTTTGTATAAAAATAATATTTTCATACATGATAACTCTATGATTCAAATCTTTAACATTACATCTATGATAACAAACTTAGAACATAGTTCCCTTCAGTGAACATCAAATCATAGAAACACCATTGATTCTGTGAAACAAACTTTTAAACTTTGTTATTTTTTTAAAATGCAAGTTAACAAAATTAGTAATATTTAACCACGGAGTCTTAGTTCGATATAATCGTTTCTTACTATCAGGTTCAATCCTATCTAGTACAAAAACCCTTGTGGCCACGCCAACCTCCCAGGCTTTATCAGTTCTAATATCGTGTGGCCATGGGTGTAGACCATGTGGATAAGTGGCGTCCTCGGGTCGCCAATACCAATTTCATCAAAAAGAAAGGGTAATCCACAAATGACCCCAACAAGGACCAGCTCAGCTCTATCATTTACCATGAATGTAATTCACAAGTCACATAATAAACATTATTCAGAAGTTGCTTGTTCTTGGAGTTCCTGTCAAATGGAGTCTGAAATTTACTTATACACAGTTTCATAGAGAAGCTTAGTAGTTTTTACCAAATTAAACCGGACCGCCAGAGCTAGGGGTGAATATTTGCCCGATTGCTTCAAGAGGGGAAACGCTCCAACTCTCGACATGCTTAACAATCTGTTAAATGAATCAATGAGACCAACACCAATCTTAACTTATCAACCATTCAATGCAGATGAGGATATCATTTATTCAAATTCGCTTACTCTAAACTGGTTGTCCAAATCATAGACCGTAGTCCCATCAATGGAAATGAGAGGCCTCCATGGTAGTTTAAGACGAGTCCTGCAGTTTTAGTTAAAAAACATTTTTTTAAATGATTGACTTCAATTGTGGAACTCTTTCCACCTATGCCCCAGATCATGCTCCAATGTGCATTTGATACCGAACAGGACAAGACTGGATGGAAGAGTGAGGTAGGCAGGGGAAAGAATTGTGGAAGGTTATAAGGATTTTCATTTGCTATGGGTGATTTAGTAATTTAATAATCTTGTTACATCTTCTTGATTTTTTATTCCACCTATTTTGGTGCATTTATGTCCCACTCAATGTCCACACCAAAAGTGGGACAACAAGTTTTTGTATTGTCTTGTCCCATCCTACCCTCCATACCAAATGCACTTCAACAGCAATGAGAAAGTAAGGCAATGTCCGCCTCAAAATGGGAAAGATGAGTTACAAGTAGCTAACCACCTTAGTCTCCAAGACGCCATTATGGACTCTGTTTCACTGTTCAGAACCTGTATCATGTTGCTTCGTATGTCATCAATGAAAATATACTCATATAAATATTTGTTTTTGCATATTTTTCCCAACTTTCCCTTGCAATATGCTCATAAAATATGATGAGAAGCTCCTATGAAACATAACAAATGTATAAATATGCTGATGAAACATAATGTATTCATGAAATGATGGAGCAACTGGTAAATTACGAACAACTGATAGGTAAGTCATAGATTTGAGTTATTAAAACAGTTTCTTCACAAAATATTAAGGTTCTAGCCAGTTATTAGTTGAGGGTCTAGAATGATGCAGGTTTTTAAAACGAAAAAAGTGGTAAACTGCAGCCTCACTTTATTTGCAAGCTATAAGAGTTTAACTTAGTGAAGCGTAGTTTATAGAGAACCAATACCTTCTTGATGCTTTGTAATGAGATTGATGGAAGCTCAAAGAAAGGTACAAGCAATTTTAAGTTCCGTGAGTACAGCTCCTTACCTGAATGGATGCATACCATCAGGATACGCTCATGGATGCACAACTGGAAAAAAAATGTAAAATCTTTCCCTTTATATAGGACATCAAATGAGTTCGATCATGCAAGAAAAAGAACACATATCAGAACCTACAAAAATATCGTTGTATGGGAAGTGAAAAAGAAACAGATCTAAGTCCTCTTACCACGAAATCTGATGGTGGGATCTTCAAAGATACAATCTTCTGCGTAAATTCCAGAAGTAAAGTTTCCTAAAATCAACCGAAATAGCAGCATTGGTTGAGTATGGAAAAGATTAAGTAGTTTAGTTAAGACTTAGACATTGATCAAGTGTGTAGCATGAATGGCATTTGGATACCTAATTATGGTCTCAGGTGGGTTTGGAGTCATAAATCAACATTTTTTTCTTTTCAATATGTGGGTTTGGTTTCACATCCTATTATATTCTTCACACATAAGTCCACAGGGCCCATAAGTGGTAATAACTTGGAGGACCCAGATTTCAGTCCCCTCTCCCCATTGCCAATCAAAAATAGAAAGTCATAGCATGCCTCAGTTAAAATCTATTATGATTTGATTGCATAGAATGTGTTCTAGTAAGAGGTTTCATTGTATGAACACGGTAAATAAATGCAAGGTACCTGTCACAAAATAAGCATTGTCATAATCTGACTTCAGTATCATCATAACATCATCCAGGCAAGAAGCAGATGTTTCATAATTCTGTTCGGGAACCATTTCATTCAATCTGCAATAATATGAAGAGAATTCAGGATAAGTGTGGCTTTATGAATAGAAACTTTTGGTCTGATTCTGTCAACTGTGTGGTCCTTTCTATTTCATCTACAATCTCTCTGCATGACTGGCATGCCATTCGATAATATGCTTTACTAATGGCATCAAAGTATCCTATCCTTGATAATCAAGATCAATTTCACCTTCTTCCTTGATATCACGAGTCTTCCTTTCTGACTTCAACCATGATATTTGGAGGGAAATTACGAAAATGCATTAAGTTCTTACCTCAACTATGACATCTGACATGATGGGGGCTGCTCACTGTTAGATGGTGTGATATATTGGCTGCTCGCTTGGCAAGGGCTACATATTCTGGTTGGTCAATGGTAGATAGTGTGACTATAATCGAATAAGATAATGATCACCTGTCGTATATCTTGACTGTTTGATTATTGAACGTGCAAATCTTTTTTAAAAATTTTGTCTGGTAATTGGGTAACTATATTTCCTAAATGAAACTCTATTAACTTAAAGTTTTTGTTTCTAAAAAGAACCTACTCGATCAGGCTACGATGTTTAGTCGATACTCATTGTTTTCAGTATTTCAAGCCTAAGGTAAGTTGTGGGTATTAGAATATGCGAAACTCCTGATTCTCTCTGTAAAAGAGCCCTTTCGAGAGACAGAGACCCTACATACATACAGGTGGTTGGTCCATGACTAGCTGATGTGGGACTCCAACATGCCCCCTCAAATGCAGGCTAGGCTAGATTGGGCGACGAGTGTGTCAAGCCCCCAAGTGTGCTAGATGCCCACTCTAATACCATGTCAAGATATATGGAACCCCTCTAATTCTCTCTTAAAAGAGCCCTTATTAGAGGGGGAGACCTCCACAGGTGGGTTGGTCCACAACTAGCCAACATCGGAATCCCACAGTGGATGGAGACTAGAGAGTACAAGGCATCAGGATTTCGAGCACACATGTTCATTACCATCTTAGTTGAGTTTAGATCAATGCTCATCATCTCCCACTTGTTTACAATTACTTTGTGAAACTGGGTATGGTTTGAATAGATTTTGAAATGTGTTATTGTTTATGGTCTTTGTTATTTGGTGAACTTCAACTTTGATTTGATCGGTTTGGTCTCTTAGATATTAGAATTTCTGACAAACTATTTGAATATTTAACTGAATTAGCTTCACATCCTGTAGTCTAGGGTTCCATTTTCCAATATACAATTACCCAAGTCTTGGCAACTTTAAATTTGTATTTGCCATGTTCAGGTCAAGAGCACTAATTAAACTTCATTCATGAGGCTGAAATACCAACTGCTTTACCACAAGTAAAATCCCTAAAAATTCAATTCCTGAGGTTCTTATGTCCTATGGCATGAGGTTTCAGGTTCAATTTCATATAAGTTGGTTCGAATGAACACTGAACTAATTGCACAATTCGTGCCAGACACCTCGATTACAAAAATAAAAAAAAATCCCGAAATTACATGAACAAATTGGTACCAAGTTGATTGTGCTTACTCATTTTTGTTGAAGGAAGAGAAGAGCCTTAGGATCTCTGTAGCTCCACTAACAACAATCTTCAAGAGTTGTGGGGTATCATTCGTCTTCGAACACCGAAAGCTATTGCGAAACCTCTGCAGAACTTTTTAGAGAAAAATTATAGGGTTTTGATCTGTAAAATACCCCAAGAATTCACGAAAACTGAGCATGTATCGAAATGTATTCTAGAGTTGATAAGACAAGCATCAAGCAAGCGAATAAAAGCAATACCCGTTGTGGCTGAGTAAGGTGTAACGGCAAACGCGCATGGAGGCAGATGGCTCCGGCCATGAATATGGTCGTCATCGTCTTTGTTTTCTTTGGCTGAGAGGGTGTTTGGGATTGTAAAAACAACGTTTTGGTTGGTGTCCATCTTATTTCCACAGTAACGAATTTTCAGTAAATTAAATCAAAAATATTAAACCAAAGAGAGTTGAGGAAATAAATCAATTATTCCATTTTAACTAATTAAGTATTGAATTTTTTTTATTTTAAATGATTAAAATTGTAAATGAATGATCGTGTGAGATCATGAGTAAAGGTAAGAAGTGTAAAAAAGAATCTAAACCCGTCACTTTTAATCTCATTTTCATCTCATGAATTGCACGTCCCACAGGAATTAATCTGGTGTATCCTATTAATGTTGATCTTCAATTATGATTGATACAATTATGGAGATCTCTTCTTACAACAATTTTCATTCTTACCGGAACCTAACTTTTAGGTGGCGTTTGGTCACATGATGTTTTAAATTTAAAAAAATAACTAATCAGTTTTACCATTTTCAAACTTTATGTTATTCAAACAACTCGCACCCACAGCATCACTGCCCCTCATCGCCCCCATCCTCTGTTCTTCATACCGCTTTATCGCCGTCGTTAGCTCCTGCCATTAATCTCCCCCCTTTTTTTATATGTTTCATGTCTTTCGATTATCTCTTTTTTACAACAATTTAATAGAGTACGTACAGACATATCAGAATAATGTGAGAATCAAAAAACAAAAAAAAAATTATAAAAAACAAGGATATTGATGGCATGAGCCAACAACGGTAATGAACAAAAATATGTTAACCTGTATGATCAAATAATAATCGCATTATTATCACAGCAAAATCACATAATGCAAAGACAAAGCAATGAATATAGGCGTGATCATCGCTGGTTTTCGATTATTACAACATTATCACATTGTTATCACAACAAAAATCACATAATTATTAAATGATTATCACATCAAAATCACGTAATTATTAGATGAATATCACATCAAAATTTTGCTCCAATAAATTCCGTAATGTTGTGTAAGGATTTATTCATTTAGAAAACGTTTAGAAAATAATCTTTCATAATAAGCTAGTTTGTTGAGCTTTTTAGGTTTTAGTAGTGTTGACAATTTATTTGTTTATAGAAAAAGCTTAGTGACTTAGGGGCCGTTTACCAAACACTTACTCCGTAAGTGTTTAAAAATAAAATTTAACATCACTATTTACTTACCGCGTAAGATTTTAGTCCACAAAAACGACATTGTATGTAACAATTTACTCGGTAAGCACTTACCGTGGTAAGAGTCGTCGCCCTCACTTATCGGGTAAGGCTCTTGGTCATGTCTTGCTCTTACCGGGTAAAATTCTTGGTCCTTACCATATTCATCCGGTCATTTGTTAAGCCTTACTCGGATAAACATTTGGTAAACGACCCCTTAATCAATCAAAATATAAAAATATGTTTCATTTTTTTCTTCTAAATTAAATCAAAAGTTATTAAAATAAAAATTGTGAGGTTGGATTTATTGTAAAAAAACATTTGTTTTTTTTAATTTATAATTAATGCATTTAACATATGTATAAAGAAAATTTATAAAAATAATTATCTCCTTCAAAAATAACAATTTAGCAAATTGTATCTTTTAAATGACATTTAAATTGTTTGACATATTTTTACTTATTTAAATGCTTTCTTCGTGGCCATTTAACTTGTTAACTTTTATCAATAAAAGGCTGACACAATTCGACTTTCAGTGAATGGTCGAAATTGTGAAGAACAGTAAGAAAATCCGGACCTGTTTGCGCGTATCTCGACTGACCTTGTGAATCCTAAAGAACAGTTAGAAAAATCCTCAATGGTCTCTCTAAAGTGTTTTTGGTTTTGTTATTTTTTTTATAATCAAAGTTGAAATCTTGAAGCTAATGTTTTAAACAACGTAAGGCAGGCATGTCTTTAGAATTACGAGTCACGACGTACGACGTAGAGGTGATCATTTATGGGAGTCATAACCGGGATTAAAATATCAAACCCAAGCATGTATTTGTGGATTTGATAGCTTGTTTGTAAGCGCCATAACGTGCTTCAAGAAGACTCTTGAGGGTCTAGATCCTTCCATCAGTTCGAGTCTAAGACACATATAAGACGTGGATAAGGTGTGACAACCCACAATTTCATATACAAATAATCTACATACATATACTCATAATACTAAAAATAGTATTGTTACAAAACACGGACTAACAAAAACTTTATTTAATACATTTATGAGTAAACAAATGTCATCAACATTAAACTTTTCTCTTTCCTTTATCCTGCGAGGTATGATGACCTGCAAAACCGGTTAGTCCAACAACTGAGCGTTAGACCCAAAAGGTTTAGTGAGTGTACATATCTCATAAAATAACATACTTTCTAAACTAATAGTTTAGAATCAAACATGTACATCACAAACATTTTATCTATATTTATCACATATCATTTCTTTATCGCGGTTACACCGCCATTTCATCCCTCTCGCGGTTACATCGACATTTCATCTCTCTCGTGGTTACACCGCCATTACATCTCTCTCGCGGTTACACCGCCATTACATATCTCTCGCGGTTACACCGCCATTACATCTCTCTCGCGATGCCGCCATTACATCTCTCTCGCGGTTAC